GGACGGGACAGGGTGCTCTCTCGTCTCGTCCCAAATCCATATCCTCCATCCCTCGGCCTCCGCTGGTGTTCCGCGACGTAATGGTGGATTCGAGTGACGCGCGTGACGGAGAAAGAAATACAGCTCTCCAACCAGGACCAGGACCAGGGGGCGGGGGCGGGGTAGGGGGGTGGTGTTGTTGGGTCCTGCTGGCACGGCCAAGGACGGAACATCGGCGGTGCGGGGGTGGCGGAGGGGGAGAGGAAGGGGAGGGGGTGGCGGGGGCGCGCCGCGAGATCGGCACGCCACGCCGCTCGCACGCACACTTCGTGATGAAGCGAAATCGGCGTCGCCACTGCCTGCGCCAGGTGCGCGCAGAGGGGCGGCAAAACGCGGCGGCAACGCCACTGGGAAAAGTGTTTCCGCAAGGCGTGGACGCGGCGGCGTAGGCCGTTTCTCTGGAGGTCACTGGATTTGGGGGTGGGGGTGGGGAGGGGCACCGGCCCGCCCCTCTCGCAAGGGCACCAGCCGGATATCAAGGCGAGGGGTGGGGTGGGGGCGTAGCGGGTAGGTCAGCCAGTGCGGTGCGGTGCGCAGGAAGAAGGCAGCTATGCTGAATGCCACCACTTCTGATGATGGACTGCGGTTCGGCCGTTCGGCGGTCAAGGTGACCAGCGCGGCCGGACATGACTATATACAGTTTCCATACTGCGTCCAACGGATCATCTACTATGTGCAGTAGGGTCATACTGCATCCAACAAGAAATATGTTATTTACAGTACGGCTCGGAAAATTCGTAAACTGCACGGAAGTGCTTAAAAATTAACTGCAGTACAGCTATACTGCATCCAACGAGCGAATCGTTATGTGCAGTGTGGCTCGGAAAATTTCCATACTGCATGCAAATGCCCAAAAATTAACTGCAGTATGGCCATACTGCATCCAACGAAAAAATTACTATGTGCAGTACGGCTTGAAAAAAAGAGTAATTCTGTTCATAACTGGTAAATGGATTACTTACTGCATCGTCTGCTAAATACCTTATTCACAGTGCGATGTGGAAAAGAGTATGATCTGAAAGCCACAGCCCGTTCACATTTCTTTTCAAAGTAACCTTTCCTCCTCCACCACTATCGTCGCCATAGATGCCATTCAGACATATGCTGGGGTGGTTTGAATGGTTCAAGACTGAGGGAATCTAGCAGCATTGCGGTGCGAAGGCTTACACAGGACAACGTACCAGAGTTGTGTTGCCGAGCGCCAGCAGCGTGCGAGGAGGGGAGGAGCGGAGGATGACCGTGCGCTCCGACGGGAGGCTTCCCAGGCTTCCGTAAATTTTAAAACTAAATCGTCCTTACCTATCCTAACCTAACCTAACGGGCTCGCGGCAGATCTTACTCTACTCTGGACAGATCTTACTCTACTGGGGGCAGATCTTACTCTACTCGGGGCAAATCTTACGCGAGAGTTCGGGCCTAACGCCAAAAAGTTGAAAAAACGAAATTTTCTATCGGGTTGCGAACCCGCACTGGTAGCATGGTAGCCGCGATCGTGTCCACTACGCTACCGCTGGAGTTGCTGAAGGTTGGGGTGCCGCAGCTGGGACTTCCCGCCGCGTCGGTGCCACCTGTGCGCCCGCGCGCGTTACCTCCTCCCGGCAGGCGGCTGCTTTTGCCGCTAATTATTACATCTTATGAATTTTGTTGCGTCAATGTGTTGAAAAATTGCTATTACTCATTTAACATTACACCCAACTTAATCGTGTTCAATTTTTTAACGTCATTAGTAGGCTCCGCAATTTAAGAACTAGCCTGCCTTAATATCAATTTAATGATAGTTATTCTTTGCTCCTTGTTTTATCTTCAATACGATATTGAAAAACTAAGTAGTGAAAGCATACCGCGAGTAAAGCCTCTGGCAAAATGTGCAGTATGCAATTTTTTCCATAGACTATGATTTTTCCGAGCCGCACTGTACATAATGACTATCTCATTGCATGCAGTGTGGCTGTACTGCTGTTAATTTTTGGACATTTGCATGCAGTATAGAAATTTTCCGAGCCACACTGCACATAACGATTCTCTCGTTGGACGCAGTATGGCTGTACTGCAGATAATTTTTAAGCACTTCCATGCAGTATACGAATTTTCCGAGCCATACTGTAAATAATATATTTCTCGTTGGATGCAGTACTGCTGTACTGCGTATAATATTTTTCCACTTGGACAAAGTATGCAAACTGCGAATAACTACATCCAGCGCGGGACAGCGCGGCCTGGACGCCGCCTGGCCTGCATGACAAACGATTCCAATGCGGCAAGGGGAGGTGGGGGTGGGGGAGGAACGGGGTGCATCCGTGCGATCCACGGCGAGGGAGCAACAAGGCGCCTTGTACTTTGTACGGACTCCCTGCAGGATCCAATTAGGCATTAGGCGGCCCGACGGCGCGGCGGCAGCGCAGCGCCAGAGACTGTACGGTTCGGCCGGCGCCACGCCAGGCGACGCCGCCGATGGACCACCGAGTGCCGAACAGTGGCGCGGCGCCGCGTCCGGCGCCTGGCCCACCCCTTCGAGGCCGCGCCCACCAACACTTTCCCTTTCTCCTCGGCGTGTACAGTGCACTGCCACCGCACAGCAGTACGCAGTGTAGTGGCCGCCTCGAACCGCGCCGCCAGTGACGCCACCATCTCGGCATGCCTGCAGGCGGCAGGCCCGACAGCCGCGGTGCTGCCGTCAGATTCCGAGCACTGCTTTCGTCGCTCTGTCTCTCTCACACTCATGGGACGTTCCGTAAGGGTGCGAGAGAGACAGAGCGACGAAGCAGTGTTCGGAATTCAGACGGCTGCATGCTGTGCTTGCTGTGCTCTGTGAACGCCACAAAGCCGCAGCGCCGCAGCGCTGCCGAGCCGAGGGCGGTGCGGCGGTGCGGCCTAAGGCAGCAGGTGGACCTGGGCGGCAGCGGCGGCAGTGACGTCACGGACCCACGAATGACGTCACTGGGGGGCATCGATTCGACGTCTGCAACCCCACCCCGCCCCTCCCGACAGCCAGACCGCACTGGTTCACCCCCACGGCGGCGCCTGCCGGGTCCCCTGGACTGGATCTCTCTGTCCCTGTCCCGTACCACGTCGGCCTGGAGGGATGCCCGTCGCACCTCCGCACTGCTCCACCCCGTGACCCGAGCGGCCGTCTCCCTCGCACCCTTCAGGACGCGCCATGAGTGCGAGAGTGACAGAGCAACGAGAGGCAGCGCCCGGAGTCACCCTTGGGCCGTGCCCTGCCTTTACTTGACCTGCCGCTAAAGGATTGTTTCACCGCTCTGTCACTGTCGAACTCACGGTGCGAGAGAGACAGAGAGACGAGACGATCCTTCGGAGCAGTGGCGTGCGCAGGGGGGTCATGACCCCCCTTTGACCACTAGACAGCCGCCTGGAAGGTAGGCAAATTGCGTCACTTTCCCCCTGAAAGTAGGCAAAAAGCATGGCTCGACCCCCCCCCCCCTTCGAAATTTCTGCGCACGCCACTGCTTCGGAGGCGACGCTGGGCGCGCCCGCCCGTGCGCCAGCCTCTCTAGTCTGGTGTGCGCCGTCCTGATCAAAGAAGAGCACAACGTCGCCGTCCTCGCAGGCTTCTGCTAGTTTCTAAATTTGCTCTGCAAACTGCGCCAACCATCGAGGCAGGCCGCCAGGAGGACGCCTCGCCAGGCTTCGCGCTTCGCCCTGCCGGTATGCGGCCGGACCGGCGCGTCGCGGTGCTCGTCGCGGTGTTTTTCCATTCCGCGTTCGCGGCGCTCGCATTCGGTGCGGCCATGGCCGTGAGTCACGGCGCGCCGTGCGCCGTGCAGTCAGGCAGCGCCGAGAACGCGAACGCGCCGCTCAGCGAGTCAGCCAGGCAGCCCGACGCGGTGCGTGTGCAGCCGCCTGATTCCGTTTCGTCGCTCTGTCTCTCTCACACCCTTACGGCCCGCCCCATGAGTGCGAGAGACACAGAGCGACGAAACGATCCCTCGGAATCAGGCAGCGGGGCGCGGGGCGGGCCACCCCTTTGGGAACGAGGGCGAGGCTGGACGCATCCCAGCTGCAACCGGTACGCTAACTTTGGACACCTTGTAAACGAGCCGAGCAGCCTGTACAAAGTCAAAGCAGATTATTTGAGCGTTCGAGGAAAGTTGGGGCCGCTGTCCGAAGTTGGGGTAGTTGACGGTACAAGGTGTATGACGAGCGCTGGACCGGCATGCCGAAGGCAGGTCCCGGGACCGCCTCGCTCAGCAAATAAATCTTTCGAGTTGCCCTTTCGGAAAACGTTTAAAAAGGTGCAACGGACATAGGTATTTCGCGACACTTTTTTGTGCCTCATGGCGTCGGGCGAGCCATTAGCCTTTTCCATGGGCCATAAAACCAAAACCGGCGCGGTCCGGCCTCGGCCAGCGCGCGGTGCACGGTGTGCACGGTGTGCGGTGCACGGCAAGGGTCGACGATCGCCGCGCAGGTCACAGAGAGTCCGAATACGTTGGCGGCTTTGCATATCGCCGCGAGCAGTCTCGAGACTCACGAACTAAAGACGTGCGGTCCTGCCTCCCAGTCGTCACGCCATTGCCGGTGACGGCTTATCGTTCTTGTCGTTGTTGTTTTTTCGTTTTTCTGTTCCGAGCGCACCCGTCCCCTTCCTCCGCCTCGTCCTCCTCCTCCTGCACGGCGAGGCTCGGCCCGGCTGGCCTGGCTCGCGTCTTTCCTTTCCGGCAGTCATCCACCGAACCTCGGCCAGGGAGGAAGCCTTGCTCTAGCACTAGCTCGGCCAGCCGCCAGCCGCCAGCCGGTCGCCGACGTCGTGGTGCCCGTGCCTTCCCCGTTCCCCGCGCGGTGCGCGTAGCTGGCGTCGCGGTGGCGCTCCCTGCTCCCGCGCAACCCCTTCCGCGCCCTGCCTTTCCGTTTCCAGCGCGAGCTTCCGCCACCCGCCGCAGCACAGCAGGCGCGCTGCCGTCGCGGTTTGCTTCTGCTTTCTGCTGGGACCTGGGGTCGGTAACCTGTCAACTCCCTTTTTCTCTCTCCGCGATTTGTGAAAGAAGTGGACTCGCACCGCGGTCCCGTGTCGCGGAGGTGACCGGTGGAAGGCCTTTGCAGCTGGGCGAGGATGTGGAATCGAACAGCGACGTCGGCTTCGGGTCTGGAACTTGAAAGCGAAGGGGTGGGTTCCAGTCAAGTGGGGGTTGTTTGTCTAGTGTTTGTAAACGACGAGAATTATGAATGAAAACTTGTCTCATGTTCAAAGGGCCATAGTTCTCGAAGATTTTCTTAGTCGCGTCGTGCGTTCTTCCCCTGTTTGGTCCGCCGCTGTCGTTGTCATGCTGGACCAAACTTGTCAGTATTAGTTCGGTGCTCCTTGGGCTCGGCCGTCAATGGAGGCAGAAGCAGAGTGCAGGAGGGGCCCACCCTGATTCTTGTGGCCCCTGTGCCTTTGCACAAGACAGCATAATTGCTTTGCATTTTTACTGACAAATCTTTTGTTTTCTTTTGTTGCAGGTGTAAACATCAACTTATATGGTACTGCCGATTTATCGCAGTAGCGCTTCAACTACTTGGCGCTGGCCCACCTGTGCAGTTTCCTTCGACAGCCACTCGTTGGCTCTGCTCTTTTCCTCAAGTGTCCTCACTTGCCGGTCATTGATGAGCAGTCTGCAGCCCCGTTCGATCCCATTCATCTCACCACTGTCCTGTGTCGCTGGTACTTCAGAAAGTGTTTCGTGTTCAACAGAATCTTGGAAGAAGAGACAATTGTTAAGTGATCAGTTATTATCGCGGTTTTCCCAAGATCTTCAAGGTTGGCCTCGAAGATGGACACAGACTGAACCCTCTCACGAATTTTGTAGAAATCAATTTATCTTGTAATTAGCTCAATTTAAATTGTCTTAAATTTATTGGCTGCAGTTTTTCTTCTCTTATTATATTTTTCTTGAGTTCGTAAGAGGTTTAATTGTAGTTGATCAAACAGTGGAGTCAACATGCTGCCATTTTAAATTTCATAACATCCTGTGATAAACCTTTGATATCTGTAAATATTAGGATATTGTCAACCATTAGGACAAGTGGTATTTTTTGTTGTTGTTGGAAACCTCAGCTGTGATAAAAGATACAAGTAATATCTGAATTTTTAAGTGCTACATTAGGAAGTGTATTACAAGGAAATATCATATTATGAACAACAAATCTTAAGCTGCTCTTCAAGAATGGAACCAACTGAAGTAAGCGAGCAGACAGGTACCGCACCTATTGTACGATGGAACAATGGCTCACCCACTGTCAGCCCTATTATGCCCACAAAGTCGGCAAATCCATCAGCCCCTGGATCACCAAACAAATCCATTAGTAGTAGTGGAATTGGTAGAGAGTCTCCAACTCAAACAAGTCCAAGTAATTCGCTCACATATTCACCTGCTCTTTCAAGTGTTGGGGATGAGCCCCCTAATATACCAGCCACTCCGCCACCTGCATACAATGCAGTGTACGATGGAGATGATTTGCATCGCTCTGCAGCGAGCTTGCCAGAAAAGCTAGAAGCAGAGTCTCCCACTTCTCCAAGGGGAGATGGAGATTCTCCTAACAAAAACTCGTCAGACAAGGAAGAAGAAAATAATGTACGTTTTCTCGGGGAAGATGGAAACGTCTTGCCTCTTGATGATAATGACTCTATTATGAGCAGCAAAAGCCATCAATCTGATGATGAAGAGGATAGTGAAGATGAGAAGAAGCCCAAGATCCCTGATGGGGGTTGGGGTTGGGTTGTTGTTCTGTCTTCTTTGTTCATAAGTATGGTTGCTGATGGCATATCATTTTCATTTGGACTTCTCTACGTAGAGTTCTTAAACCATTTTCAAGAGAGCAAAAGTGTAACGTCTTGGATAGGTAGTCTTTTTATGGCTGTACCTCTTTTATCGGGGCCTGTTGGTAGTGCACTTGTTGATCGCTATGGCTGCAGAGTCATGACAATGATTGGGGGCCTCATTTCTGGAATCGGCTTTGTGCTTGCTGCGTTTTCCAATACAATTGTTGAAATGTATTTCACTTTTGGTGTCATAGCCGGCCTAGGATTAGGTTTATGTTATGTGACGGCTGTTGTGAGTATTGCATTTTGGTTTGACAAGAAACGCACCCTTGCAACTGGTTTGGGTGCTTGTGGCACAGGCATCGGTACGTTTGTGTACTCCCCAATGACAACTTTCTTTATTGAAACTTACGGGTGGCGTGGGACAACTCTCCTCCTTGCTGGCACATTCTTTAATATGTGTGTTTGCGGAGCTTTGATGAGAGACCCAGAATGGTACACCCTTGAGCAAAACAAATCCAACTTGCAACGAGGCAGCAAATCTCTTCGAGGTGCCTCATCATGTGGCTCAATCTCAGGACGCAGTCAGTTTGAGCAAGACTTTCCAGGTGTAGAGGAGTTGAGGCGAATGCTGAAGACTGGACAAACGCCTGAGTATCTTCTTGCTGGACTCAACACAAGCACTGGTGGAGTACCCTCACATGGGGAGATCCCTGAAAAAACTTCAAATGGGGATATGGCTCCATCTTTCCACTCTGTTGTAAATTTGCCAACATTTGTTCGTCAAAGTGAAAAGGTAAAACAATTTTCTTAAAGGTTTAGAACTAAATTATTTTTATTGACTTTTTCAATCCCAATTTTGTATTTGAAATTTAGCTCGATAACTGTTTCTGGAAAATGCATGTTTTTTTGTTTTTTTTTTTGTCTTCAGGTGCCTTTGGAAGTTCTAGAGTCATTGAGCTCCAATAAGCGCTTATTTAATGTGGTTCTTGAGAACTATCCTAGTCTTCTCTTGTGCCGCTCATCAAGTCTCAACAATCTGAATAAATCTCCGGTGGAAAGTGTAAGTGGCCCTACCCGAGTCCCTGTTACAATGTCCATGCGTCTCAAGCAAGCCAAGAAAGCTGTCGCTGCAGCCATCACCTCACCTGGGGCTACATCACCACCTACATCGGGTGTCATGAGCCCTACTTCAGATCCAGCAGGTATGTGCTGCCCTAATGATGTCTTGCCGAATTTATGTGATCTATGGGACAATGTATACTCCATTGCATTGTTAGTAGTTTCAACAAAACAGGCTGTAGTGTGTGTCTGCCAGCTGACCTTCTTATAGCAGCAATGTTGCAAAAAGTGTATAAAAATATGGAACGCATTGCATTTCTTGCAAATTTCTCTGTGACAATGTGGATTGCTTCTTATTATTAGCTATTAGTATTTTGGTTACAATTTATGTATTTTTGTGCGCTTTTGAAAACAATATTTTTGACTTAACGTTTTGTCTTTTGTTTTTGAGACAATATTTGAAAGTTTTTGTCCCCACTTAAAGTGGTTCTGAAATCACTTGTCTTTTGTTTGATACAATATGGTCACTGCAAAAAAAGATAATTACTTTCTTTATTCAAAGATTAAAGAATTTGAATGGGTAATTATCTCTTTGCATGCTTCAGGACCAGTCCCAGGTAAGAGTTAATATGGAGTGGTCTTCACAGATGAATAGAGCATATCTACACTCACAGCAAATGTATATTGCTGAATCACCAAGTAGTCGCCTCATTCAACAGCTTTGATGTCATGCTGCTTTGTATCAATTTTTCAAATTCACAAAATGTAGGAAGCTTATGTTGTGCTTCAATGCTTAGTATGTTTTAGAGTCTGTGTCACAATTTGTTAAAAGTTGAATTTAGTGTTGAAATTGGTCATGGCGAGACAATTAACCAGTGTTTTATTTGTATTGGGATACTATGTAGCTTCATACCAGACTTTCAGTTTGTGTATCTCAGCTTTGGTTTTATCCTGAATTTTCTATAACATTTTCTACCATCTTCATTCATTGGTATCAAATCATATAGAATATGTATTAGTACATTCTATAAATTCATGTACATTTAATACATCTATGTACAGTTATAGCTCATTCTCAGTAGAAATTTATATTTATTTGCAATCCACATTTAACTCTCTATAAACTAGATGTGTTGTGGCACCGTGATTTCTGGTAGTTTTATCAATACTAATATGTCTGTTCACATTACAGGTGTTCCGCTACTTTCTCAAAGTGATGTCAAGCCACAATTGGTTAGGTCTCCATCAAAACTACCAAAGAGCATTTTAACAAAGCCTCCCCCAGGTGACACACCATGGCTCAAGAGGCAATTTTCCGTGAATACTCCTCCTCAGAACTACCTAAAAAATATCAGAGTTCACAGGTACCATAATTATGCCCCACTGTTTCCTCCTTCTTTCCTAGATAGATGTGTCCTAGACACATCTGCCTAAACACACCCACAGATTTGTTCATTTGAAATTATTGTTGCAGAAATTCAGTCATGTACCGTGGTGCTATGCTGAACATTCATAAATATCGTCTTCGAGCATCATCTTGCCCAGACATATACCGTAACTCAATGACCACTATTGCCCGTGAAAATGATGAGGTAATGTACATGAATCTATTCATCTCCTTGTTATATTAAAAGTAATCAGGTACTTGTTATTTTCTCTACTTTCTCTAAAATAATATTTATTTTGATTTATAGAAATGGTATGACCATATTCTGGAGCCTTTCCGAGGAATAGTAGATTTTTCCATGTTTCTGGAGTTACATTTCTTGATGATGTCCTTGAGCACAATCCTTCTATTCACATGGTTCATTGTACCATATTTCTACTTGGCGGACTTTGTTGGCGACCTTGGTTATGAACCCTCTGATGCCTCAACACTACTCAGTGTGATTGGCATAACTAATACCATTGGCATGGTGAGTTGATTGAGGGCTCCGTTAGATATTTTTGTTTTGTTTGTCCTGTATGTCATTAGTGACTTTTTTTGCAGATTGTGCTTGGGTGGGCTGGCGACCAGCCTTGGATGAATGTCACAAAGACTTACGCCGTTTGTCTTGCAATGTGTGGTCTAGCAACTGCAGCTATGCCTCTGTGCATCAAATCATGGCCATTGCTCGTCACAGCATCTGCTCTGTTTGGGGTGTTTTTTGCCTCAACATTTTCTTTTACACCTGTTATTCTTGTTCAACTTATACCTTTGGAAAGGTTTACACTAGCATATGGTCTGATTCTTATGTGTCAAGGAATTGGCAACCTAATTGGACCACCCATTGCAGGTAACTGCTTTTTATTTTTCTCTTTGAACTTTGAAGTATTGCTCTGTGAAGTGGTGTTGCAGTCAAGTTTCTATGGATTTTATGTGAATTCCATTTCTGTATTTTTCAGGATGGCTATTTGATGTCACTGGTTCGTGGTATACATCCTTCTACATGGCTGCCGGCTGGATTGTTGTCTCTGGAGTGTTATGCTATATCATACCAATCACCAAAAACAGAAGGATTATTGGACATGCCACATTAGAGAAGGATCGAGAAAGCATTGCTTAACTAAATTGTACAGTGCATTCAAATGACAGACTATCCATAATTGTACTTAATGCATCAGCATTATGCAATCTTAATATTTAGTTCAAGCATTCTGCTGTATGTTTCATTCTATATATGATGAAAGTTACTTAAGTATTGTTTAAGTATTAAATTTAGGCATGTAATGGTTTGAGTAACATTTTGTCAGTGAGTGGAGGAGAGAAAGAAATTTCAAAGTTGATTTTACCTCTTAGAAGAACTTGCACTGTATTAGATATTATTCAAATATTCTCTCACATCCTTTTCTCTAAAGTAAATAACTACTTTTTACTTGTTTCAAATTTAACTTGTAATTGTGAACCTTAATGGTACAGTATCTTCAAGATAAATTATTTGTAACATTGTCTTTAGATAGTAATTAAAAACTGCCAAGAGTTATTCTTCCATTTCATGATCTAAATAATCTCATGACATTGAATCCATGACCTTTATGTTAATATTTAGAGGTTGTAAGGTTTTTCTCATAGAGACGTACCCTTTTTTGTGATCCTAATCTCGCAATCAATGTCTACAGATTAAGTACCTCAACTACGTATATTGTGGAATGATAAAATATTCATTTTATAAGGAATTATCATGCAAAAAAAAAAAATTGGCCCTGGATTTCCTTAACATGTTTTAAGTATTTGGTCTTGAGCTTCTCTATGTAATAAAATGCATCTCAATTAAGTAAATTTATTCAAAATGACGTTCAGAAGAACTTTCCTAAATAATGTTTTGTTTTATTCTTTCATATATGTGATGTGTAGTGTTGGCCCTTCTGTATTTAATGATCTGATGACATTCTACCTTCATTCAGAGTTTTCAGTCTCAGATTCTTTGATGTTTTGAATCTTTCATCTATGGATGGTGCTTGTGTTGTTCTTTTTTGTACGATAGGCAATCATTTTGTCTCTTAATGTGATACAATATTTGCATATTAGTTTCCTTTTATTTTCTTGTTAAGTGTTCTGTATTATACTAACTCGCTAGGTCTTATTATTATCACACCTGACCTATTATATTTGAGTTGATTAATTTTAGTCAAGTCTTACTGTTGGTAGAGAGACCAGTACCGTAGTGAAAGTAAAATTAAAAGCTAAATGCATTACATGGATCGAAAGAAGTTTGATGCTTTTTTAGGTGAGAGAGAATGCACACTGACAATTCTCAATTTTGGAAGAAATTCCTTCTTCCAGTTGTTTATATTCAGCAATTTCCCCCTAAAAATTTAACAAAGGAACAATAAACAAACAAACAAAGCTCTCTCCTTTTAAAAAAATCAATGTTAAAGAGACTTATTAATTATGTATGCCTAATGTCATTGCTGTTTAATCTGTGTTCTGAATTTGCAAATTTAATGCATAAGTATCTCAAGTAGATCTCCTCAGTGTACAAAATTTTTTGAAACCTATGAAGAGGCTTTTAAATGTATCTGAGAATTTTTACTTGGGATCTTCATAAACAATTTAAAACATCCTTAGTAACCACTTGTTCAGCAATGTGAAGTGAAATGGGTGAATAAACCTGCTATGGGTGCTATAACTATTTGTTAATAAATTAAATTAATAGGAATGTTGAACGTCATCAATGTATACCAATGTTCTCATCAGGGTCATGTGACATCGCTGAAGATGTTTCCTTCAGGGTTTTTTGTTTTCTTTTGTCAATGTAGGAAAGTTGCACTACATTGATCTCTGCTGGTCGGTAGATTCAGCTGTCTGCTTTATTAGCACTTATTCTGCATAGTGTTTAAACTTGTTGATATAGAATGGCATTTTTAGGAGTTGAATCAGATTACTTCAACCACCAAAATGATTGAGAAATGCATGTGTTTGGTGTAGTTGAGTGTGCAGATCACGAGTCAAGTTGTTACACTATGAGCTTTATTGGAGTTGCTGTACTGTCTAGATCTCATACTTTGTTTGTTTCTTTCTACTTATAGAATATATGTTGTGTTGATGCATAGGCGAATGAAAGATTTAATTTATGTTGTCATGAAGTGTTTACGAGATATTATGAGTGGCTTCAGAACATTTTCTTTTGAATGACAGAACGAACGAAAAACAGGATATCTGAACTAGCATTGTGGAAGGCATTGCGATGAGTGAATCTTCTATGAAACTATGTTGGTTGTGATTCATTTGTTAGATTTTTAACTTTTACGTTCGATAAACTTCGTAGAGCACATGAATCAGTAAATCAGGCATGTCTATTTTGATACACTCTTTTATGCTGGTGGGAACATTTAATAGTGGGTTTACTCTTAAATGCTTGTTAGCTCCTGATGCAACCTTCTTAACTTCTTGGTGATTATGACTGCTGTTTTCTGAAAGATGTAGCTGCTATGATTATTCCTTGAAGTCTCATACGTCATTTAAGTATACTGTATGATTAGAATAGCAATATTATAAAAGTCTAAATGTATTACTCATTCATGCTTTTGGATGCAAATGCTCAATGTTCTGCTTCTTCTGCACTTTTTGTGATTTTTGTTTTGTGTGTCCATTTTAGACCATTTTTATTTCTGCATAAAAACTAGTGACTGAATGTTTTCTAAAATTTGCTACAGGACACATCTGCAATCAAATGTACCAATCCAAGCGCACATGTAAAGATCCTGGTTTTGATTGATTTGCTTGACACAACATGATATCATGTTTTTGTGATCAAATTCTGTGAGAAACTGTAGAGCTCTGCTTTTTGCAGCGAGATGTGCTGTGGGTAATTCCAGCTCAACCAAAGCAATACTGTCTCCGCCCCGTTGCTGCTTGATGTAATCACATTTGTATTGTTTTTTTTGTTTTTTTTTTAATGTTCTCCGAAAAATTGTGAAGAGCACATGCAAAAATCCTCCGCAAACAAAGCTAAAAATTCATACATATTAATATTATACTATCATTTGTTCTTTACCCATAAGTAAATTCTTCATAGTGTGTAAAATTTTCAAATATAATCCTTTAAAAATGTTCTGGAGGTTGTACAGGAATAATGGAATTTGAATGTGAGCTGAGAGGAAGTGTAAGAGTGATGTAAGGCTGATGGAGTTGAGAAGAATGTTATAACATCGGAGACTGTTGTTGTTGACCCTCTGTTTTCTTCCACATCCAAAATAAACGATTAGATTTAAATCAAACTTAATAGGACTGAAATGAAAAGAATGCCTTGAAGATGTCACTAAAAGTTTTGCCATTAGTGGCTCTTGTGACATAATAGATATGTTCATATATATATTCTTTAAAATCTCTTTAACTTAATATCATTTTAATCTCATGTACTGGCATCAAATATACTTTAGAGTGTAAGTTTGTTACAATGTGTAGTTTGTGACAATGTAGTAAAATTCTTTTCAAGGGCAAATGTATGTATCCTAGAAACATTTAGAATACTATATTTGCTTGATTTACTAGCATTCTGTTTTAGATACTATGTTTTATTTTTCACACTTTTTTTCTAAACTACCAGGTTGGTTGTTATAGGGCCAGGTATGAAACAATCTGAAAGCAAATAATTTGTTTTTACTGTTCGTTTTCAATGGGGCAACCTTTTCTGAAAAGATATAAATAAATTTGTCCTCAGAAATAAACAACACAAAGTTGCACAGATTCTATCACTGACTTCCTGATCCCTCACGTTTTGCCTTGGGAGAAATGAGCACGATCTTCGTCCACAGCATCGAATCAAGAGTAAAACTAGGGAGATGTATTTTGCTTGGATTTCCAAATCTGGAGGCATGTTGCTCTTGCCGTTTGCAAGTGGCCTCGACATCCGAGCACAGCTTCCGACGCTGATGTCTCTCTCACCCCATCAGTGCGAGGGAGACAGAGCCTGCAGTGATTCAGCATCCTCGCGCTGGCATTCCCGGGGTAGGCTGGGTAGGCCCTGTGGACTGTTTCCGAGAGGAGCTTTCGTCGCACTGTCTCACTCGCACCCATACGGGACGTCCCACAAGAGCGAGGGAGACAGAGCGAATCAGTCTGCGAGGCAAGAAGGGCGGGGCGGAAAAGAAGAGAGGGGGATGGGGGTTCGGCTCACATGACAAGGAACAGAACAAGTGACTCCAGATGAAAGGGAGAACGCTGCACGTAGAGGCGTGCCTGCCTGGCTCAGCCACCGCCAAGTGTGAACCGACGCGGGGCGCGGGGCGTAGTGTGGATGGATGGGCGCGCGGGGCAGCACGGCAGGGCAGGGCACGGCAGGGCACAGCGTCCCCGCCAGCGTCTCGCGAGGAGCGCGCGGCAGGGGCATAGGGGCATGCAGGGTGTCGGCGCGGCGCGCGGCGGGGTCGTGACGGCATGTGGACGACACCGAGGTGGGGGTGGGGCAGGGGAGGGCAGCGGACGCCCGGGACACACATGGTGCCCTCCCGGCGGTCGGTCCAGTCCCGCGGCTGCGACATGATAATCCAGAGGCAGCAGTAGGAGCAGCCCGAGCTGCCGTGCCGTGCCTGTCCGGACGACGCGACGCGTCCTAGACCGGGAGTCGTAGTCGTAGTGTAGTGGCGGCGAGTGGAACGCGGAGTGAAGTGGCCAGTGAGGGTGGTGTGAGCTTCGCGTCGTGCGTAGTGGGGTTGGCGTTGTCCTGAGTGGAGTGGAGTGGAACCTCGAGTGAAACGAAGTGAAGTGACAAGGTGGCAATGAGTATCACGTGGTGGCGTTGAAGACCGCCGTGGTTCAGCCCAGACGACGCAGTGCAGCGCGGCCGAACGCCGAACTTACTGCTGCGGACGCCCCACGGATTGCCGCGGGGCCCGTACGAGCGACCATGGCCGATGAAGACCATGGCCGATGACGAGGATGGCCGAAGTGTCCGAGGGCCGGGCGGTGGAGGCGATGCCGGCCCCAGGCCGGGCCCAGGCCGAGCCCATGCGTGCAGGATTGGTGCCTATTAGTCCCCAGATTGATATGGATTAGAGCGGTGTGTGTGTGTGTGAGTGTGAGTGCTGTGTGGACCAGCGTGTTTGTGTGTGTGTGTGTGTGACACGCAGGACGCGCGGCCCCAGCATCCTGGGCCCTGGCCAGGCCCTGGCCCTGCTGGCCGGGACACGACGGACACGGCGCGACGCGACGCGGCGCGAGGACCCAGTGACGTCGCTGCAGCCTTCGGTTCGGAGGTAAACACGCCGCGGCCGAGGTCGAACCGCGAAGCGCGAAGCGCGGCTACTGGATCTCGAACACATCGGAAGGCGGGGTGGGGCGGGGCGGGGGAGCGCGAACCATCCCGCGGGGCGTGGCGCGGCGCGGTGGCCCCGGCCCGGGCCCAGGGCCATCGAGGGCCGCGCAAATGGACCGCCGTGCCACCGTCCGGATGGAACGGACAGAAACCGGATGACAGTAGCGCGGTGCGCGGCGTGGTCAAGCAACCAACGAGGCAGAAGGCGCTTTCCGGCCCAGGGTCGCGGGCCCTCGCGTCCCTGGCTTGCGGTACCCGGAGTAGGCATCGGGACGAGCAGGCCCTCGGCAGGCCCTTCGCCCTGCTGCTCCTCTGCGTGCGCGGCGACGACACTTTAGCGCTGCCTTCGGCCCTCGCTTCGGCCGGGCGGCCGCCAAGGGGCCAACGCCGACGTGCCGACGTGGGGGCAACGGTCCCATGGAGGGCCAGGCCGGCCAGGCCATTCAAACGGCGTGGTCGCGGGTCGCGATGTGGCCGGCCGGGCCAGAGGCAGCCACAAGACCACAAGGCGGCCACAAGTGTCGGCACGGCGCAGTTTCACTGGCCGAGCGGCCTGCCTGCGCCTGCTCGCCGCTCCGACCGCGGGCTGTACTGTCGTCGGCGTCGTCGGAGCCCTAGCCCTGGCCGTAGAGGGCCACCACCACCCTCCGCCGCGCGGACCGGGCCGCCCGGGGTCCACTCACCCGTCCGGGCACCAGCTCGTCGCTCTGTCTCACTCGCGCTCGTGGGGCACCACGCGGGGGTGCGAAGGAGACAGAGCGACGAGAACGGTGTTCGGAATGGAGCTGCAGGGCCTCGCCCCTCCTTTCTCCCCGGCCCGGGGTGCCCGGTGCACTCGCAGCAGCGGAGCGGAGCGCCTGGCGGGTATGCTGACCCGCCGCACTCCACTGCACTGTGTGGCGGCCCGCCCTGGAGTCTGCAGGCGCTACAAGGCCTCCTCGCCTGGTTGGCGGACGGACCGGACGGCCCCGGCCCGAGCCAGGCAGTGGCGTGGCGCGGCGGTGTGCAGTGTGGCGGTCAGGTGGCGGCGCCGCGATCGCCTGCAGTCCATTACTCCAAACGATGCATTGTCGACGGCCGCCTCAACTGCGCGGCGAGCTGAGCGCTTAGCTCGTTTGGCCGCGCTGGCCGGCCCGGTACGCGAGGTTGGCGAGGTTGGCGAGGTGCAGCCGGGCCGCGGCTGCATTTGCTGACAAAGCAAGCGGAGCAGGCTGAGTGGAGTGTGGCCCGCCCTTCCCTTCCCTTCCACTGGCGCTGCGGCCGCGACGCCGCGACGCCGCGATGGCACATTGGCCGTTTATTGCCGCGGCCTGGCCGCGTCGCCACGCGGTGACGTCACCCCGCCCTGCCTCGCCCTGCCTCGCCCTGCCCCCCCGTGAAAAACTCGATAGCGCCAATTCGTCGTATTTTCGTCTCCTGCGGGAGACGAAAGATAGGCGGCTTGGAGGCGCAAGGAAGGCGAATTGGAGACGACAAAGAGGCGAAATGGCGACGGGAAGAAGACGAGACGCTCGTCTCCGCCTCGTCGTCGGCACGACGCCGTTCTGTCAGCGATTCGTCGCCGTTTCCTCTCTTAAATACGTCTTTCAGCGACGACATGGAGACGAAAGGGAGACGAAAACAAAATGGATGCTGAGAAAAATGAACCACGGAGTAAGCCGGTGGTGGGCGTCGAACCACGCAACTGTGGGTTAGAGAGCGAGGGCGGAACCGTTCGGCCAGAACTATTCCGCACGTCTCGAAGAGCGGTGCCGGAATGTTATCAATAGGAGACAATTAAACATCAATGCAGCATGACTTTCCAAGAAGTAAGTCTGGTATCCTTTTAACGACTTACAATCCGTTGCTGACATGTACTCACTAAATACATACTTAGAGACAGTCGCATAGTCGCATATCAAGAGAAGTCAACGTCAAAGTCTACACTGTAATGGAAAGCAATGTGCGAACTCCTGAACTAACGGTGTCACTCTTCAAGAATGGCGGAATCGTTCTGGCCAACCGGTTCCGCCCTCGCTCTCCAACCCAGAGTTGCGTGGTTCGACGCCCACCACCGGCTTACACCGTGCTTCATTTTTCTCAGCATCCATTTTGTTTTCGTCTCCCTTTCGTCTCCATGTCGTCGCTGAAAGACGTATTTAAGAGAGGAAACGGCGACGAATCGCTGACAGAACGGCGTCGTGCCGACGACGAGGCGGAGACGAGCGTCTCGTCTTCTTCCCGTCGCCATTTCGCCTCTTTGTCGTCTCCAATTCGCCTTCCTTGCGCCTCCAAGCCGCCTATCTTTCGTCTCCCGCAGGAGACGAAAATACGACGAATTGGCGCTATCGAGTTTTTCACGGGCCGCCCTGCCCCGCCCTGCCCCGCCCTGCCTCGCCCTGCCCCGCCCTGCGCGGCTCGGCCGGTCCAGTACTCTGCGGGGGTCCTTCATGGCGAGTGAAATGAAACAGAAACAGTCGCTGTTCGGGCATTGGGGCATTCGGGCGCGAAGCAGCGCGACGACGGAACGGAACCGCCGCGAGCCACCGCGAGCCAGCCGCCAGCCCGCCTGGCCCTGCCGAGCCGAGCAGGTGCTGCTGCGTGCCGCGGTCCGCCGCCGCGGGGAGCGCCCTGTTCACCGCCCGCCAGTCGGGGCGACCAGGTGACCACGCGGCCGAGGAGGTGGCGCGTCGCCCACTTCGCCGTTCGCCGCGACGCGCGCCGGCGCCTTGCTGCACCGCGGCCCGCCTGTTCGCGAGGTTCGCGCCACCCTACCCCACCGCGTGCAGCCGGCACACTGATTCCGACAGTCGTTTTCGTCGCCGTGTCTCTCTCGCTCTCATGGGGCGACCCACCAGTGAGAGAGACGGAGCGATGAAAACGACTCACCGAATCAGCCTGCTGGCTTCCTTTCTGCTCTCCCGCCATCCTTCGTCGGACCCGTCGGACCCCTTATTGGAGTCGCGGTGCGAGTGATTTCAGTGTCTCATCCACAGGCGGAGCGAGAGAGTGACTCGTCGAAGAGAATTTCGTGCAGTCGCATGCGGTGATCTTCATTAAGTGGCGGCCGCAGCCGTGAAAAGTGGAGTCCCTGACGTACGAATCGAGTTACGAAAATTTTTTGCGAACAGGCGGTGACGATCCCACGAACCGCGGGAGTTTTCGTCGTCTTGCGAAAAATTGAGTCAACAATGTTGCAGTGTAAACCAGCGCGCCACACGTCACCCCAGCGGGGCTCGAACCCACGACCGCAGAGGGCGCTGACAGAGCTTGCATCACTAGGTCTCTCTCGCACTCACGGTGTGTCCCACAAGGGTGCGACAGAGACAGAGCGACCAAAGCGCTGTTCGGAGTGAACCTGCAGGCGGCGCGTGCTTGCGGCGTGCATGTCTCTCGGCGAATGCAAGTGACACTTTTGCTGCGAGGGACCGCGGCAGGCGGCAGGCCGCGGGAGCGAGAGAGCGCGCTGCGGCCTGCCTCGCAGTCATCCTTATCACGGTCTAGCGCCGCGCGGGCCGCGCCGGCCGGGCCGCGGGCTCGCAGACGGTCCCCAACCTCGGGTAGGGTAACAGCGCGGACCTGACCGGGCTGGGCGTCGTACAACTAGTCAGAGTCAGCCTCTCCGCGACGACGCGACGCGACGCGCGCGAGCCGAAGTCGAATCTGCGAGCCGGCCGGCGAGGAGCTTCCCTGCCGCCGCGGCCGTGCCGTGCCGTGCCGCGCCCTGCTCAGCCCTGCCCTGCCCTGCCCGGCGCGGCCCCCGCCCCTGCACGTGCTGGTGCCGCTGCCCCCGACGTCCCCGACGGCCTCCCCAGGCAGGCCGCCGTGAACCGCCTCGCGAGGTGAGCGTCTGCGTCATTCACTGCGAGCAGTAAGCGTCGGCGCCTTGGCGCGTGCGTCGTCGCTTTCGCGCGTTTTGGCGCCAAAAAGGCGCTTGACGCGGCGGCCGCCGTAATCTTAACCTCGTCGGTCTGCCCGATTGGCCGTGCGCGACGTCCCCGCCGCCCCGTCGCCGTTTGGGCCGGTGTATGATAAGGCCGTCGGCGACCTGAAATAAATAATAAAAATATAATGCCCGGTGCGACGTTTCCTCGGCGCGGCGCGGCCGGCGCGGGCGGGCGGACCGTCCGTTGATTACGGTGGGAAGTGCACCAGATAGTGACTAATCTCATCACCGCGTGTCACGGCGAGTCGCGGCAGTGCCCCGGGCCGCACCGCAGGGCGGATTAGGCAAGCCGGGCAAGCCCGTGGCGGGGACCGGCCGGGCCGCGCCGGGCCGGCGCACGCGTGTGGAGGCAAGTGCGACAGTGTAGTGTGTGATGCCGTCAGCCCGAGCACACACACCAGCGCCTCCCAAAGAAAACGTTTTTATTGTGTTTGCGCGCGCGATAAGGTCTTGAGACAATCTGCCAAGAAATCCAGGCAAAATACACCAAATGCCAAGGCTGCGACGCGATGACGGGGAGCGGTGGCGTTGCCGTGCCGTATCGGCGACAAGTGCCGACGCGGAGGGAGAGAGAGAGAGAAAAGAGAGAGAGAGACTTTGCGATATCTCGACTTGATTCGGCCTGCAAACTGGGCGGTAACCTCGGCTATCGATGTCCCGCGTGTGATTGGCTCGCGTCTCGCAGACTCGCGGCGGAAAGTCCCGAATCCCGAATCCCGAATCCCGAATCCCCGGCCGTCCGAGGTGAATGAGAAACGAACCACCATTAGGGCCGCGAACCGACATCGGCGGACGGCGTGGTCCAACGCCCCACGCTTTAGAGTCATTTTTAGACAGCAGCCAGGCGTGGTGCGTGGGGGGCGGGGCGGGGCAGGGCAGGGCGAGATCCTTGGTGCCATGTGTCACCTGCGCGGGACGGGACGGGGTCGGCACTGACCTACATTTGAATGAGACCATTTACTCGGCTGCCTTTCGGCATCATTCCGCCACATCCTGCTGCAAACACAGATAAAACTGCAGTCGCTGCGCCGCGCCGACCGCCAGACCGACCGCCGTACCGACCGTCGTACCGACCGTCAAGCCAAATGTTGTCTATCCGAGTCACTCTATCCGAGATCATTATCACCGAACGGCGTTTGTGATCCTGCGCCGCGGTTCGCGCATTCGAAGATTAATGAAGCGAATCGTTGCTTGCAGATCAGGAATGTTGAGTTGGGGGCCCGGACGGCCCGGAGGCTCTCGCTGCTGTCGCTGCGCGCGTTCTTGGCAGAGTGCGCTGCGTCCCCGCGGCGGCCCCCACGGCGGCCTGCTTGACGGCGGCCTGCTTGACGGCCTCGGAGGCGCCTCGGACCAGGATGGCTGACGACGCGGCGCCGCGGCACGCCACGACCCTGTCCTCCCTCAGCGTGGTCCACGAGCAGAACAAGCTGAACAAGCGCGCGCACCGCGTGCACGAGTTCCCGCTGCGGTAAGTCGCGCCGAGTTCCTTCTCGCGCGCTTATTTCGCGTTTCGCGCCGGTTTTTCTCGAAACCGCTCAAATCCGCCTGAAACCGGCCGCCGAACTCGACTAAATTCGTTGTGGTTTGCAGCAAGCAGGGCGCGGTCATCTCCCTGTCGGGTAGCCGCGATGGCGTGCTCGACGGCGTGCGCGACGGCGCGGCGGACGCCGCAGAGCCGCGAGCCCAGCCCCAGGCGCAGCTGCAGCAGCTGCAGGTGCGGCGGCTCAACCAGACGCCGGGGTCGCGCAAGATGCGGAAGATCAGCAGCCAGTCCGTGCCCGAGGGCAAGGACGCCCTGGTCCTGCTGCACAACGGCAACCACGGCGACGCCGCCTACTTCCTGGCGGAGGACGACGCCGAGGAGGAAGACGACGACGAGGATGACGAGGACGACGAGGACGATGACGTGGACACGGAGGTGGCGGAGGGTGCCGTGCCTCGGCGGAAAATGCCCGATGGAGGCTGGGGCTGGGCCGTGGTGGCGGCGGCCTTCTTCATCAACATGGCCAGTGACGGCATCTCCTTCTCCTTCGGGCTGCTGTACATCGAGTTCCTGCGCTACTTCGGCGAGAGCCGCAGCACCACGTCGTGGATCGGCAGCCTCTTCATGGCCGTGCCCATGCTCACCGGGCCCGTGGCCAGCGCCATGGTGGACAGGTGAGGAGACGCTCGGGCACAAGGGGCCAACGACTCGCGCTATCATGAGTACACACCCGAGCCGAAACCACGTATGCACGTGAATCACGCGGAAACCATGTAAATTCTCCCAAAATCTTGTGGAATTAATCAAAACTGTTCCCAATAGTGCAAAATCAGACAAACTCGTGCGGAATTTGAAACGTGAAATCTTGCGGTATCTAGCAAAACCATTTCATCCCGTAAATCATGAGTACTGAAATAATTGGGAGTTAATGGCCCCTCGCTCGATCGCCAGCGCTGCACCTATTCATGGGTGGGACGTGGGACTGCGGTGCACTGCAATGACCTTGACCGCGGCCTTGCCGCTCGCTGCCCACAGGTACGGGTGCCGCACGATGACGATCGTGGGCGGCATCATCTCGGCCATTAGCTTCGTGATCGCCGCCTCCTCGACCACCATCGGCCAGATGTACCTGACGTTCGGCGTGCTGGCGGGGCTGGGCCTGGGGCTGTGCTTCGTGACGGCCGTGGTGAGCATCGCGTTCTGGTTCGAGCGCAAGCGGACGCTCGCCATGAGCATCGGCGCGGCGGGGACGGGCTTCGGTACCTCCATCTACGCGCGCATGACCAACTTCACCATCCGCGAGTACGGGTGGCGCGGCACGGTGCTGCTGCTGGGCGGCACCTTCCTCAACCTCTGCGTGGCGGGCGTGGTGATGCGCGACCCGCCGTGGTGGATCAAGGAGCAGCGCCGCCAGGGCCGCAAGGGTCTTCGCGGCGCGCGGCGCGCGGGGGCCGAGTCGACGGCCAGCTCGCGGGTGTCCGCCGACGCGACGGAGCTGCTGCCGATGGTGCCGCTGGCCGTGCCGCTGTCCAGGGTGGCGCGCAGCCTGCCCTACACGCGCTCCATCTCCATGACGACGCGGTCCGAGGACAACCTGGCCAGCACCGTGCTGGCTCGCCACCCAGCCAGCGCGCCGCAGACCCCCAGCACCCCGCTGAGCCCGGGTATCCCGCCGCCCGCCTTCAACACCATCCACGAGATAGACCACGCCGCCGACGAGCACGGCGTGGGAGAACTAAGTACGTTTCCAGAATAACTTGTGACTTTTACCGCTGGTCGCACAGCGCACTCACGATCATGGCCTGCTTGTCCTGCTGCAGGCTTAGAGGAGGTTCCGCTCACCAGCGCCGCTCCGTCCCGCGGCGCCGGAGTCCCCGGCACGGGGGTCGCGGTGATGGGCGCCGACGCGGTGCCCGCCGTGGCCGCCGTGGCCGTCGCCGTGCCGCACATGCTGCTGCGGCGCTCCAACTCGTCCAGCCCGTTCAGCAGCAGCCCTTTGCGCGCGGAGTCGCTGCCGTGCTTCCGGCGCCGCGTCAGCCTCAACGCCGTGGGCACCCCGCTGTACTCCGGCACCCCCGGCACGCCCACGCCGCTCGTCGCGCCGCGCAGGTACTGGAGGGCCATTCCGAGCAGCGCTCTCATCGTGACTCCCGAACCCCCTCAATATTGCATTCTGCTTCCAGGCCGTCCTCGTTCAAGGAGGACCGCAAAACGTTCTGCTGCCCGGGGATCTTCGGCGCGCCCAGAGCGGAGGGCGACAAGGTGAGGGCTTCGACGATATGGACGTGGTTCTGGAATCGCGACGCCGCCAACCAAACTCTAAAAAGCCATGATAATATACTTGCAACAAGCGAACTGACTTGAATGTTTCAAGGAAATTTACTCATTGCAAGTATATTTTTTTGGGCCAAGAAGCTACTTTTTCGGGTGCTGACCACTGTGTGTCATCCTTGCAGCGCTGGTACTCGTCCACGGTGGAGCTGGTGCGCGCCATGCTCGACTTCTCCCTGTTCCTGGAGCTGCACTTCCTGCTCATGTCGGTGGGCACGACGCTGCTGTACACGTGGTTCATCGTGCCGTACTTCTACCTGGCCGACCACCTCATGCAGAACGGCTACACCGAGTCGCAGGCGTCCGTGCTGCTGGGCGTCATCGGCGTGGCCAACACCTGCGGCATGGTGAGCATGACCACGGCGGGACTCGACGCTCCGCGTCGCGGCGGCGGCGACGCCGCGGGCCTCGGAGCGCCGTCCGCCTAGGCAGCCCAACGTGGCCGAGGGGGGAGTGGCGACGGCGCGGCGCGGTGTGGCGCGCAGCACGGGACGCGCAGCGGGGAGGGGGAGGAGAGGGCGTGTCTAGGACTAGAACTTCTCTTTTACTACGACTGTTTTGTTCTGTTGCGCCGGTGCGCGAGCAGGGCGGCAGGGCGGCCAGGAGGTGCGCCGCGACTAGCCTCGCGGCTTTCGCGCGTCCGCCTAACCCCGCGCCTAGCCTCGCGTCTAGCCTCGCGCTTCCTCAAGACCGACTCCGCCCCGCCCCGCCAGACCCGCGGCCGTTCATAGAGGATAGAAAGCGTCGGGGGGAACGAACCCGCCGGCTCGCCAGTCCGCCGCAACGGTTAATCCGACCTCCGCCAATGGCGACGCGCGACGCGCCTCCCTCGCGCTCCACTCCGCCGTTTTGTATTCCTATTTCTTTCGCAGTCGTTGTTGTTTCTTAGTCTTCTTCCTCGCGCTCTCCGCGCGCCGGCCAGCAGAAGGGCGAGGAGATGTCCCGGCCGGCGGGCGCGACGTCGCGCGGTACCCGCTCGCGACTTGCCGGTGTGGCGCGGCCGGCGGGGCGTGTTTTGAACGCGCCGTTCAAACGTTTGATGGCTGATTTTTATTGGTTTCTCTCTCGCCATACGTACCTATATTGATACTCTATGAAGGGTTTGCCGAACGGGGAACGGGGATATGGGAGCGACACCTCCAGCGCGATGGCTGTTCAAATATTCGAACTCACCCACCCCCGCGAAAAATGTTAACCAAGCAGTTCGTGGCTACAGTGTCGCCACTGTATCAGCTGCTCGGATTTTTCCCTAGCGCCCCAGGGGGCCGCGGCCGGGCCCCAGCGGCGGGAGGAGGCGGTGGTGGCCCCGTGCTGCCCTGTGCCAGGCTGTGCCCCCTCGTGTTGAACAAGCAACCCACCTTGCAGTGAGAATGTGTGCCCCAACGGGCGCAAAATAGGATCAGGCGAGCAGCAGCGGCGAGGAGTTGGCAGTGCTGTGCCGCCGTGCCCTCGCAGTCAGTGAACTCCCTTTCTCTCTCGCTCTCTGGCTCGCCTCTCTATTCTAGCGCCACGAGCCACGAGCAGCCAGCAGGCGGGCAACGGTGCACCTCCTCTCCTGTCTCCCTTCCCCTCGGCCCGCGGCCCCTTTCTCCTATCGGCCTCTCTCTCCCACTCCGCGGACGGCCGCGACGGCCCCACCACGCCGCGCTACGCCCACTGGGCTCCGCCTCGCCGTGGTGGAGGCCGTGGTCGCCACCAAGCAGGAGGCCGTGGTGGTCGCCCATCACTCGAAGCCCGAAAGAAGAAGTAAATCTCCGGTTAACCTGGAAGTGGGTCAACAAGCACTCTTCCTTTATTTTCCGAATCGATACGGCGGTGTCTGTTACCACCTCAGCCTGGGCCGCGCCGCGTTCTGCCGCCCACCGACGCGCTGCCGCCACTGCTGCCGTCCAGCCGTGGTACCCGAGACCCGCGACCCGTGACCTGCGGCGCGGAGCGGCGGCACGGGCGGTACCCACAGCCACGCCAGTGGCGCCACCATGACCCGGCGGCCCTTGACTGGCAGCCGGCGGCGGAGCGCGCGTGGCGCCGTTGGCGAGGTTGGCGGCACTGTGGGCCGGAGCGGGGCGGGAGGTGCTTTGGTGGGAGCATCCCCGGCAGGGCCAGCGGGGCCGTGCCCCTGCGCGCCCTCAAGTGGATGTGACGCCGTCAGTGGCCCCACCAGGGCAGCCCAGCCAGCCAGGCCAGCCCCACCAGGCTGCTGCCTGCCTGCCTGCCTGGCCGCCCGCCTCCCGGCAGCCAGCCTGGGGCTGCCTCGCTGCCTCGTCGGCAAGCAAGCAGTCAGTTGGCTCAAAGTGGCCGCGCGGACGCAGTGCCGCGGATTGCTGCGGCGGCACCTGCTGCCCCGCCCGCGAACATCCAGCGAGTGTGTTTCCCCCTCGATTTGTACCAGGCGAGCAGCACTCCGCGGGAGGTGGCCGCGGCCCTGGTGGGCGTCGCGCCGCCTCGCCCGGCATGGCGTCGCCGCAGCGCGCAGCGCCAAAGTCGCGCCTTGGTGCGGCTCGCCGCGGCCCGGCGGCGCGGTGGGCAGTGGTGGCCGCTGTGGTGGCCGTGCGGCGGCGGCGGCTGCAGCGCCACCCACTGCCCCGCGGGACCGCGCCTCGCCGCGCCACCCCCCGCGGGCCCGCGGCACGGGGCGTGGCGGGGCGTGGTGGGCCGGGCCAGGGCGGGGCAGCCATCCATCACTCGTCGATGTCGCCGCGGAAGTAGCAGCGGCGAGGCGGCGGCCAGGAGCGCAGCGCCGCGAGGAGGTGCACCACCCCGCCGCAGCGCCGCGCCGCACCAAGTCCTTCCCGCTGGGTGGCCCCTCTCCCCTCCCCTCCTTCCCTGCCCTCGCCTTTCCCCTTCCCTTTCGCCGCGGCGCGCGCAGCGGCAACACAAGGCCCGCGTTGCCCGCGTCGCCCGCGTTGCACAAGGCCGCACTTCGCCTTCCCGTTTTCGCGCTTTGTGTTTTCAGTGTTCGGCGTGCTGCGCTGTGCGGCGCGGCCAGCCGAACGCCCGCTGCCCGCGGCCGCGCTTCAGAGACAATGCCTCACCAATAAACACGAGCAGGACGCCACTGGCGCCAACATTAAACACAAATAATCTCAACGTGGGTGTCACAACGCCTGTCATGCACTGGATAGGCAACCATCGACGATACAGGACACGCGTGTGAAACTGGCTTGCCTACCTCCCAGGCGCTCGGCGCCTGCAATGTCTAGGATAGGCAACCATCGAAGGTGCAGGACACGCGTGTGTAACTGGCTTGCCTACCTCCCAGGCGCTCGGCGCCTGCAATGCCTAGGATAGGCAACCATCGAAGGTGCAGGACACGCGTGTGTAACTGGCTTGCCTACCTCCCAGGCGCTCGGCGCCCGCGTAGTGCAGCACAGGCAACCACCGCGAGTCCACGACACGCGTGTGCAACTGGCGTGCATACCTCGCAGGCGCTCGGCGGTGACAAATTGAAAAATGCCCCCTTTTCCTCTCGCAGCTGGGGCTGGGCTTCGTGGGCGACAACCCTCGCCTCAACGTGACCAAGACGTACGCGCTGTGCCTGGTGGTGTGCGGCTCGTCGGCCGCCGCCATGCTCGTCTTCACGGACCACTACTGGGCGCTGGTCGGGGCGTGCGCGGCCTTCGGAGTCACCTTCGGCTCCACCTTCTCCTTCACCCCCACCATCCTGGTGACGCTCGTGCCTATGGAGCGCTTCACCATCGCCTACGGCCTCAACCTGCTGTGCCAGGGCATCGGCAACCTGCTGGGGCCGCCCTTCGCAGGTGAGGCGACGCTCGTTTCCATTTTTCACAGTGGAGCAAATCAAACTCCCGCGAAACCTGTATTTTTGCAAGTTATCAAAATGCTTTTCAAGCTTTTTGAACCCTTTGCGGCAATGCGAGCTAGTTGCTATCCTGTTGGATGTTCCAGGCTGGCTATACGACCTGACCAAGTCGTGGGACTTGTCCTTCTACATGGCCGGGATGTGGATCGTGGTGGCGGGCGTCCTGACGGGGCTCATCTCGTACACCAACAACAAGCACTTGTTCGGCTCGCTGGCGACCGAGTGCGAGGCGGCGGCCGCCGCGGCCGCCGCGTCGTCCGAAGTGCTGCCCACCAAGTCCACGTCGTCCGTGGACGCCTCCGCCGTCACCTAGCCGCGGCCACGGCGCCCGAGCTGGGCGTCGTCGACGGCCAACCGCGCCAACGGCAAGGCCAGCGGCCTCCGCGGACTCGGACGCATCGGCCGGTCGGGGAGGTCGGCGTGATGCCGCCCCACGCCCTCACGCCGCCGCGCGGTCCTGGCCGAAGTCAAGCTGGCCTCCGTGTACGAGTGCCGGGCCGCGCCGGCCCGGCGACTTGCAGTGAGGCCGGCAGAGTGCAGTGGAGTGGCAGCACGGCAGCAGGGCTCGGCATGGACACTCTCCCAGTGCGGCCGCAGGGCCCAGTGTGACAGTCTGTGATGCATCTGACGTACCGCGTTGCGGGACACTGTGTACAGCCTCGCGTCTTCACGTGCCTCGGTCCATAGTTTAAGGCGCCGAGGAGGATATTTAGTGTGGGCTTCAACGCGGCTTCTTGCCGTGGTGTGAACGTCACTAATTTTGTACCAAAGTATAGAATTGTTAGAATTATTTAGCTATTATTACACGGTAAACGAAAATCCCGGATTCCGCGAGTCACGCGATTCGGTTTTCAAGATTTGCCAATTACTGAGTCATCAAGCAGGTTTCCAGTTTTCGACAGGCGCGTCTGAAAAGACCCGCAGCAGACGCAGCCCATGTTCGAGCCGTCTCTATGAAAATTGGAAATGGACACTTTTGGGGCACTTCGAGTTCGGGATTTTCGCTTACCGTGTATCCGTTACGTTAGGCAAAATCCAGTCAAACCTAGCATTGTTTATCTACTTACCAAAAAAAAACTGTTTATCTTCGTCCAATTCAGAGCGACTCCGACGACACGCCGGTATTATTGAAATACAAATTGCGACTCGTTACCAGAAAATAATTTAATTTATTCTCCCTTCTTCACAGAGCATCAAACACACACGAACACATCCGAACATACTGTGAAAACGTCAGTACTTTTGCACGGAAAATGTACAGAGCAGTAGAGTACGGGAAAGAGTACCGTACGAAACGTCCGTACTTGCTCCGTCTGAACTCATGTAAAACGGTAAGGGAAGCAAGTGCGGACGGTCCAGGCAACATTGTTGACCAGACTTAGTCCGTACTTTTTCCGAACTCTTTTTCTTCCGGTGCACAACACACTCATTCGCGCCAACACTCGTTTTTATCACAGCTGGCTGGTGATGGCTGCAGACTATGGCTGTCTGGGACGGGGCCGTGCTCGGCCGGGCTCCACGAAGAGGGCCTACAGGTCGTCGCAGGCGTCGATGTCCCTGGGGACGCTCGTGGCGGGACCGATCTTGTGGGGGTCGCAGATGGTGCCGTCGGTGGCCTTCTCCACCGTGCCGGTCAGGATCCGGAAGTTGTACTCCTAAAAACAACAATTAACCGATTTTAAAAACTGGCGCCGTGCGGCGACTTCTACAGTGGCGTTGCGTCGCGTGTTCTCTGTCACTGCCGCGCGAGGCCATTGCCGTTCGCACGCTCCAGGCTCGCTCCAGCAGGCGGGTTCCGAGCAGCGCTTTCGTCGCTCCGTCTCTCTCGCACGAGTGAACCGTTCCGGAGGGGTGCGAGAGAGACAGAGCGACCAAGTGCGGTTCGGAATCGGCCCGCCAATCAGGCCACGAACGCGAACTTGAACTTGCGGCGCTGCGGCGCTGCAGCGTCCGAACGGCCGAGGAGAGGAATTCCCCGCGATCTGGAAAACTGACCGAAAGGCAAACGGCGAAAAGACGCGCAACTGCAGCAAAGGTTGGCCGGCCGCGGCGTCAGCAACAGCGAAGCAGTGCCGCTGACTCGGTGTCGCCGTGCGCGGTGTGGCCTCAGGGCGTGGGTAGGCCTAGAGCCCTACAGAGGCCCTAAAGAGCCCTACTCTAGGGCTCTAGGTAAGGTAGGCCGTAGGGCATGGACATGGACAATCAGCAGACAAGTTTTGAAAAACGAAGGGCCCGTCCGTTACGTTAGTTCCCCGACCAAGCAGGCCGCTTTCGCCGGAAGCTGGCGCTGCTGCACACTGTCGTTTTCGTCGCTCTGTCTCTCTCGCACCTACGCGGGACGCCCCACGAGTGCGAGAGAGACAGAGCGACGCGAACGACTCTCGGAGTCAGTCCGCAGGCGCAGTCGGCGCTACTCACGTCGCGGCTCAGGCTGCGGTACAGGTACAGGTGCAGGCGGTTGGTCAGCATCCAGATGTTCTGCGGCTCCTCGCGGTCCACCTTCAGGTCGTTGGGGAAGTTGAGCAGCGCGTGGTCCTGCGCCACGTGTCCCACAGTGGAGCGGCCGTAGGGCTTGGCCGAGTCCCAGCAGCCCAGCGCGTCCTGCGTCACCAGGTTGAAGAACAGCACGCCGCGCCGGTCCATGGCGGAGGCGGACGAGTGGGACTGGTTGCGGCCGCGGACGCCCAGCTGAGGAGGAACACGTCCAGAACGGGGAACTTTAGTTATCAGGCAAACGCCCCTTGTGGTGGCTTCAACATAGAGGAACACGGCCAGGAAGGGGAACTTTAGTAATCAGGCAAACGCCCCTTGTGGTGGCTTCAACACAGGCACGTGAAACATTATTCCATTCGCCCTGGACCCCATCCCGGAGGCACTCACGATCCTGAAGTCGTCGGGGTGCTCGTTGGCGTACGTCTCGTTGCGGATGACGGACGTCTGCACGGCGAACTCCCGGAACGACGCCATGGGGTGGAAGAACATGGTGCGGTCCTTGGTCTTCTTGTCGAGCGGCGACAGCGCCAGGCCGAAGATGCCGTCCATCCAGCGGAAGGTGACGTCGTCCAGGACGAACCTGTGGCAGGCCCGGCAGGCCGCAACCGGAGAGTGAGGTGGGCACGCGCACGCGCAGCACGGCGAAAGGAAAACACGCGATGACACTGGTTAAACTGGAGCGTACTTTAAAGCCTTTCTTCGAGCGTACTGGTTAGGTTCTCCGTTCCGCTCTCCCCCCCCCCTTGCCTTCTTTAATCCATCGACTGTACGCTTGACTTCAAGCCTAAAGTCTTCAGGGTAGCAACTTGCTTTGAATGAACCCTCCACTGGTAGCCAAGGAATGTGACGTCATATTCGTTGCAGTGTGAATTTTGTCACGTTCGTTTGAGTATGATGTCACATTCGTTTGAACGAGAATCACACGCTAAGAATTTCTTCGATACTACGACGGGAGCGCGTCGAAGCTTCGACGGGAGCAATCGGGGCATTTTTCGTCGTTCTTCAACGAGCGCGCGTCGAACACCGGGCTCGTAGGATTTGCGACCTGGTGGTCTCCGATGGTGTCCCCGAGGTCTCCAGGACACGGGGAGTCCAACGCCGAAGTCGCCGACGCTCTGGGACAAGCGGTTCCGGAGATACGAGGACGTACCATAAGGAGTCCGTCAAAGCAACTTTTTAGTTGGAGGCCAAAATCATCTTCGGCCTCTGGCTCCGTTCCATTTGGGTGTCCGGGACTTTAGTATTCAGCATCGTGTTGAGGTAGTGCTTGACTAGCAGGAACCCATCAGCGGTCGTCGTCGGACCTCCGGTGCGCCCAGGATGCCGACGAACGAGGGTGCTGTGCCGCCATACGGTTCAACAACGTTGACGCCACCACCCAGGTGGTCCCTGGTGGTGTCTTCGGGGTCTTCAGGACACGGGGAGTCCAACGCCGAGGTCGCCGACGCTCTAGGACAAGCGGTTCCGGAGATACGAGGACGTGCCGTAAGGAGTCCGTCCAAGCAACTTTTTAGTCGGAGGCCAAAACAGCTTCGGCCTCTGGCTGCGTTACATTTGGGTGTCCGGGACTTTTGACTTCGGCATCGTGTTGAGGTAGTGCTAGACTACCCGGAACCCGTCAGAGGTAGTCGTCGGACCACCGGTGCGCCCAGGATGCCGACGAACGGGGGTGCCGTGCCGCCATACGGTTCAACAACGTTGACGCCACCACCCAGGTGGTCCCTGGTGGTGTCTTCGGGGTCTTCAGGACACGGGGAGTCCAACGCCGAGGTCGCCGACGCTCTAGGACAAGCGGTTCCGGAGATACGAGGACGTGCCGTAAGGAGTCCGTCCAAGCAACTTTTTAGTCGGAGGCCAAAACAGCTTCGGCCTCTGGCTGCGTTACATTTGGGTGTCCGGGACTTTTGACTTCGGCATCGTGTTGAGGTAGTGCTAGACTACCCGGAACCCGTCAGAGGTAGTCGTCCGACCACCAGTGCGCCCAGGACGCCGACGAACGTGGGTGCGGTACCGCCTTACGCCACACGTCAGCGGCGTAGGTGCAAACGGCGTCAGCCCCGGCCGCCTAAGCTCACAGTGGCGTGGGAGGACACGGCGGCGGCAGCGACAGGTGGTGGCAACGGTAATGAACCGTAAGGCGGCACAGCACCCCTGTTCGTCGGCATCCTGGGCACACCGGTGGTCCGACGGCTACCTCTGACGGGTTCCGGGTAGTCTAGCACTACCTCAACACGATGCCGAAGTCAAAAGTCCCGGACACCCAAATGTAACGCAGCCAGAGGCTGAAGCTGTTTTGGCCTCCGACTAAAAAGTAGCTTTGACGGACTCCTTATGGCACGTCCTCGTATCTCCGGAACCGCTTGTCCTAGAGCGTCGGCGACCTCGGCGTTGGACTCCCCGTGTCCTGAAGACCCCGAAGACACCACCAGGGACCACCTGGGTGGTGGCGTCAACGTTGTTGAACCGTATGGCGGCACGGCACCCCCGTTCGTCGGCATCCTGGGCGCACCGGTGGTCCGACGACTACCTCTGACGGGTTCCGGGTAGTCTAGCACTACCTCAACACGATGCCGAAGTCAAAAGTCCCGGACACCCAAATGTAACGCAGCCAGAGGCCGAAGCTGTTTTGGCCTCCGAGTAAAAAGTTGCTTTGACGGACTCCTTATGGCGCGTCCTCGTATCTCCGGAACCGCTTGTCCTAGAGCGTCGGCGACCTCGGCGTTGGACTCCCCGTGTCCTGAAGACCCCGAAGACACCACCAGGGACTACCTGGGTGGTGGCGTCAACGTTGTTGAACCGTATGGCGGCACGGCACCCTCGTTCGTCGGCATCCTGGGCGCACCGGAGGTCCGACGACGACCGCTGATGGGTTCCTGGTAGTCAAGCACTACCTCAACACGATGCTGAAGTCTAAAGTCCCGGACACCCAAATGGAACGGAGGCAGAGGCCGAAGATGATTTTGGCCTCCAACTAAAAAGTTGCTTTGACGGACTCCTTATGGTACGTCCTCGTATCTCCGGAACCGCTTGTCCCAGAGCGTCGGCGACTTCGGCGTTGGACTCCCCGTGTCCTGGGGACCTGGGGGACACTATCGGGGACCCCCAGGTTGCAAATCCTGGACACCTGGCCATGGACCTCGGCGTCAAGGCCGCGCTCGTTGAACTACGACGGTGGACGCTTCGACGGGAACCAGTCGTTCCCCCGTTGAAGCTCGATGATTGGGCTCCGCTGGGCACGGGTGTCGAGTGTCTGTCGAGGTTCAACGAAAAGTTTGACGGGCCGTCGTCGTCGCTCAACGGGAAGCATAAGTTTCGCGTCGAACAGGCGGTTCCCGTCGAAGATACAACGGGAGGTGTCGAAAAAATTCTGAGCGTGCAGCATTCAAACGAATGTGACATCATATTCAAATGAACGTGACAAAATTCACATTCGAACGAATATGACGTCACATTCGTTGGCTACCAGTGTCCGCTCCAGTTTTACCAGTGTACGGGTCTTTCGCAGTGCAGCGGGCCTGACCTGGAGGCGATGGGGTCCGGGAAGAAGAGGTTGTGGCTCAGCCTGTAGGAGCGGTCCTCCCTCCAGCTGTAGACGAGCAGGCCGTACCGGAACACGTCGGCGGCGTAGGCGAAGGCGTCGTCGCACTGCCCGTCCCGGATGTCCACCACGATGTTGGTGAACAGCGACTCGGGCTTGGTCTGCGGCGGCAACACAGAAACAGAGGCCAAAGTCATTTGACTTTTCGGGTGTGGCGGCGCTCTCAAGCCGTTTGCATCGCAGCGGTGAGACGCTTTCACTGTAAAAAGTGCGCGGGACATTAAGCCGCGGGCGGAAGGGAGATGGCAGATAGCGCTCGCGCCTTGTCGCGCACGGTGACTGCATGTCGCAGTCGCGCGGCTGCAAGAGCAGGCAAGAGGCGGGAAGTGTCTGCCAGTCGGAGGATTCCGCCGCCCGCGCTCATCGTTCCGTCTCTCTCGCACTCCTACGGCACGCTCCACGAGTGCGAGAGAGACGGAGTGAGGACTGCGTGCGGCGGACTCCTTCGACAGGCCGGGGAAGGACCCGAGAAGCACGCGCTCTACAAACTGAAGTATGTGCTCAGTAAGCTGAATACACATCTGCATCTGTGTACTCAGCTGAGTATGCATCTGCAGATGTGTACTCAGCTGAGTATACATCTGCAGATGTGTAGCTGAGTATGCATCTGCAGATGTGTAGCTGAGTATGCATCTGCAGATGTGTAGCTGAGTATGCATCTGCAGATGTGTACTCAGCTGAGTATGCATCTGTAGATGTGTACTCAGCTGAGTATGCATCTGTAGGTGTGTACTCAGCTAAGTATGTATCTGTAGGTGTGAACTTGCAAGTATGCATCTGATGCATACTGAGTACACCCTTCAGTTTGTAGAGCGCCGACAAGAGAAGCCGGGGTTCGAACCTGTGACTTGGGGATCACGTATCTCCAGAGCAGCCGGTCCGTGTTGAGGTCGAAGATGACGATCTGGGGCGGGCAGACGACGCGGATGTCGCCGATGGCGTCCACGGCGCCGCTGTCGATGACCCAGAGGCGGCCGCACTCGTCGGCCGTCATGCGGAACACGGAGGTCAGGGCCTGGCACGAGTCGTTCTGGCCGGCGCGCGGCACGCGGTGCCACGACCAGTCCGGGTAGGGCTTGAGCTTGGGGGACGCGTCGCCCTGGGGCAGAAGGACCAGCAGCCGTTAGCCACCTCCACGACGGCCTAGTGTGAGGGGCCGATGAAGCAGGTGGCAGCACGCACAGTGGGCCAGAAGACCGGTGGAGGCGGCCGAAACTCCAGACGCCTTTGGGGCTCCAGAGTCACTAAACAGGACTCGAACCGAATGTGTGACCCCACCAATGAATTGCTCTCTGGACGAGGAATCCATTGGTGGGGTCACACGTTCGGTTCGAGTCCTGTTTAGCGACTATGGAGCCCAAAACGCGTCTAGAGTTTTTGCCGCCTCCACCGGTCTTCTGGCCCACTGTGGCACGGGCCGTTTTCGTCGCCCTGTCTCTCTCACAACCACGAGGCGTCGCCTACAGGTGCGAGAGAGACAGAGCGACGAAAACGACTCTGGGAGTCTGTCTGCGGCTCACGTTGGGGTATCTCGACACGTAGGCCAGGGTGGCGGGCACGCCGGGCTTCCAGCGCGGGATGCTGACGAAGATGCGGTCGCGGTACGTCTCCACGCCGAGGGGCAGGTTGTTGTCGGCGTTGTAGTCGCCGTCCGCGATGGCCTTGGCGCGGGTCGCCTCGTCGGGGAAGTCGTAGTCGACCTGGGGGAGGGATCCAGAGCACTGTGAGTCTTCACGTTGGCGGCGGCGGCCCTACAGCAAGCTTGACAGTGTCAGACACCCACCCGTTTCCACCGGTACAGCTCCTGCAGGCGCCCGTTCGCGGTGGTCGCCGCGTCGCCGCCGCCGCCACCCGGGGCCGCCGCGGGGCCGGGCAGGCGCGTCCTGGTGCCGGGCCGGGCGGGGCCGGGGCGGACGCCGGGCCGCACGGGGCGGTTCACGCCGGGCCGGGCGGGGACGTTGGCGCGGCTAGGGGTGGTCCCGGCGCCGGCGGGCGGGTCCGCGCCGCCCACCACCGTCATGCCCAGGAACCAGGGCAGCAGCGACACCACGCCTGCAACAACAACATCATCATCACTATCATCATCAGCGCTGTTCATGCTTCAGCAGTCCTTTGGCAGTCAAAAGAAGCAGCTGCAATGAACAGAGAACTGCAAAGCCCGAAGGCGGGCGGCGGGGCGATGAAGTCACTATTTGAATGCGGCGCCCTTTTGCAAATGGCGAAGGCCGTCGGGCTGATGCGGCGTGTTTTGATCGCACGCTCACGCACGTCGCACGCGCGCCGGGCGCATGTCTCTTATGGCGACCAGTCCGCTAAATAGATCACGGTCAGCGCGTCGCATCGCGCGGCGTGGCGCGGCAGGGCGTGGCGCAACCCGCTGGAACGGACTCGGTCGAAAGCGATTCTGGAATCTCGAATCCCGATTCGGGGCAACAACTCGAACCGAAAAAACTACTTCGAATCCCCACAACAAAGTCTCACGTCAAAAAAAAGTAATTGAAAACCGGGACCGTTTTCCCGGTTTGGGACAATTCGCTGCGCGCTGCGCCCGCGTCACAACCGGTCACAACACTCATTGTGCTCCGATCTATTTTTGTTTTTTTGAGCGAAGCGTGGCGGCAGGCGCGGACGACACCGGTGAGCCAAGCGGTCCGATCCATCACTCTGCCGTTATGCAATTTGCCGGACGGCCTGTCACCGGTTAGTCCGACTACTTTCCCCGCGTCGCGCGCACGTGCCGCAGTCGTCGCTCTGTCTCTCTCGCACCCTTACGAAACTCCCCGCGAGTGCGAGAGAGACAGAGCGACGAAACCGGTGGTGTCCGGACGGAATCAGCTAGCCTAGTTCTTTCTTCCTCCCCGCGCTGCCGGCTGGCCGGGTTGTGCGAGACTTGGGGGTGGAATTTGGGGTTGGCCTTGGGGGTAGACTTCGGGGTGGACTTCGGGGGTGGTCTTGGGGGCGGGCGCGCCGTCCGGGCGACGCCAGACCCCAGCACGACTCGCTCCGTGTCATCAAGGGCCCGCCCTCCAATCCAGGACACTACTTTTCTCCCACTGACCCCAGTACGCCGAGCTGCCCGTCGCCCTACACTGCAATAACAAACTTCTCTCACAACAGTGTTTCTTCCTCTACACGACATGCGATGAAAACCGTGGTCGACGGCGTGGTTCCCAAAGACGCAAGCAGCAAACTGATTCCAAGATTCCTTTCCGTCACCCTGTCTCGCTCCGCACCTACACGGAATCCCCACGAGTGCCAAAGAGACATAGCGACGACAACAGCTCCCGGAATCAGTCGGTGCGAAGGCAGGACTCACCGAGACACAGAGTGACCCTCATGGCGGCGGCTGGCTGGCCACTCCACTCCACCGACCACTCCACTCGCGTGCCGATCGCGCGGCAGACTCAGACTCCGGCCAGGCGCGGCGCGACGCCAAGACGCCAAGGCGCCCCGGGACGCGCCTCCACGCCTCACCGGCTTTACCTGACCCCGCCGCCTCCACGGCCCCCTCCCCTCCCCCTCTCTTCCATATCCTTAACAACTTGACCAGTACCTCGAGCCCTCTCATCCGGTCGTAAACGTTCTGTTGTTGTTGTTTTTGTTGAGCAGCCCTGCGGGTACGCAGGCGCGCATCCAGGGAGGGGGTGATGGTGATGTGGGCGCCCCCTCCCCCCTTTTTCAAAAGACCGCACTTTTCTCCTGGTACCGTAAATGCGGGTAATATGGACCACCAGTGGGTAAATGTGGACCACCCCTGAAATTCTCCTCAATGATCGGTTCGAGCCAAGTTACCTACAAGTTCGGATGCTAGTTGACCGACACGGTTTTCCGTGCCACAGGTACGCGGCATCACCGATCACAAAGAAGAGTTTTAGGGGTGGTCCACACCACCCATTGGTGGTCCATATTACCCGCTTTCACGGTAGTAAGCTACTTTTGATTTGATACAGGCCCGCGAGGTGCAAGGACTCCTCGACGAGGGGTGAATCACAAGTGTACTCATGTGTACAAATTTGCCCGTACTCAGTGTACTCACAAGTTTACATAGGGCGAAATTCACTAGTTTTTTTACCCATTTGGCGTTGAGTGCCGTTTAAAACGCTACCTAAAACCTTAAAACGTGTTCAAATGTGAAATTTATGAGTAAAACAAGGTGTACTCACCCGTACTCTTGTACTCATGTGTACACCAGAACGCAGAGTGATTCACCCCTCGCTCCTCGATCCGTCTCCCTGCCGCTGTGCCCGGCTGCAGCCCAAGTCTTTACAGGTTTTTACAACAATACGCGGCTCAAAGTACTACTTTTCCCCTTCTTCCGGCCGGCTCTGGATCCGCCACCGCAAGACCCCGGCGGTGGTCGATGTGACGTCGTCGCGCGAAGGACGCGCGCTTTTGTGCATCTCATCGCCGCCGACGGCTCCGTTTACTTTTTTCCCGCACTGCGTGAGGCCGCGGCGCGCGGCGCTGGTCAGTCGGCCCGGAAGGAGGATTTCTTTGCAGCGCGGCATAAAATAAAGGACGATCCGGAGAGCGCCTCCTCCTCGGACGGTGGCGCCGCCACTGCTAGAGCGAGGCCGGCAAACAGGCCTTGGCGGCAAACATGCAAGTTGTGCCCCGTGTGTTTTCGCCGCTTCCGCCAGGAGACTGATTCCGAGGGAGTCGTTCCGTCGCTCTGTCTCTCTCGCACCCGCACGGAACGCCCCATGAGTGCGAGAGAGACAGAGCGAAAAAGGGCCAGAGGCGAGCCAAAGGCAATGCCACTCCATGACTCTGCTGCCGCCCTGGATCCAGGGCGCTGGCCGGGGAGGACGCCGTCGTCGCGGCGCTGACGTCATGCGATGCGCGCCACTTCCGCGGCTCGGCCGGCACGGTGGCGGGCGATGGCGATGGCCCCAACGCGACGCAGCCGAAACAATGCAATTTCGTGGAAAAACGTTTTGGGCGGCGGGGCTCGGGCGGCCAGCGACCAGTGAGGCGCCTCTTGCGGTGCAGCGGACGCCCGCCCGCCCGTCCACTAGGTCACGGAGCAGGCAGGCACAGTTACAGTGCTGCGCACCGCGGTGGTGACTGACTGCTGACGTCACGCGCTCACACGTGGGGTGCCGTGCGTGGTGCGCTATGAGCACGCGACTGCGCACGTGTGTGCGACGAGGAGCAAGCTATAGCGCGCACGAGTGTCCGTGTGTGAGGGACGAGGATGGACGAGGAACACGCGCCGCCGTCAATTAGGGAAGGGCCCAGCGGGTCCTGGGTCCTGCTTTCGTCGTTACGAAGTCAGCCGCTTTTCCTGGAGTTAATTTTCGGCGCCTCGCTGGCCCAGCCCCTCTGGACCTTCATCCTGAACCCCGCCCTGAACGCCCCAAGGAAGAACAACCGGCTGCGTTGGTGTGTCTGTGTCACCGTCCTGGACGGCCGAGCCTGAAAGACATTTGATTATTTGCGGTCCAGCTGTCAACAGCCACGGCAATATCAATAGCAAAAGCAATTGCAACTGCACGCGGGGCGATCGGGTGCTGGATGGGTTGCCTACGCCTCAGAGTGCCGAGCCGCCGAGCTCAGCTAAGAGAGAGGGAGAGAGAAAGGTCGTACAGTCCAGGCGGCGAGCCCCCGCCTTCGCCTTCGCCGACTGCCGGGAGACGTAGGCCACCCAACGCACACCTCTAGATATCTGAATCTGAACCTCCACGTCCACGCTGCGGTGCGTGGCTGCCTCCCTCCCCCTCCCCTGCTCCCGTCCCGACCTCACCTCAAGCCACAGACTTCAGCGCATGCTAGTTGAAACAGTTAAATGTCATGTGTCACGTGCATGACGCTCACACACAGTGAAAATTTTGGGTTGTCACTTGATGGCAATGTCAAGGCTAATTTCCCCCCAAGAATGTCCCTCGTCTATTCCCGCCTTTTTCTTTTCCCGCCACTGGTCACAGAACCCCTCGTCCTTGCCTACCTTGTCCTGGCGAGCTCCACTGGCGCGGGCCGTGCTGCCAGTCGTCG